CCGAAATCTACAGTTTTTTTATTTACTTTCTTTTTCCTCTTCCACAAACTGTTGCTGAATCAGCAGTGCAGTTTAAAATGAACAGTTGATAACTCTGACATCAAATACATAATACCACATTAAATGCCACTCTGTAAATTATCATGGTATGCACACTTTGATCCCCATCCATACACATAGGTTTAAGTGTCACTATTTAACTCGGTTAAATTTACAAGTTAACACATTTTTATGGAATGTCCAACCAAGTTTAATACCTGAATGGACAGGTATTTATTTACTGAGTTTTGAAAGTGTTGTAATATTTTAGTATAAGAAACTGTTTAGCCAGTTCTATCAGAGGTGGAGAGTTTAAGCCTAATATTACCAATGTTACGTTTATTGAAGTAATCGTAACCTTCTGTACGGTAGTTTAGCAGCGTTTACTAATTTATCTTTCTTCCGTCGTACGAGTAACTAATCTGTAGTATTTTACCGAGATCTTCTGGTCAAATTATAATAACATGAGAAACGTATTTACGGTACTTAGTAGTGTTTATAATGTTGTTCAGTCACGTTATAGTAACACGAGAAATTTGTTCTTATTATTGAACAGTATTCAGAGCTACGTGTGTAACATGACAGAGTTGTCTACAATATTGAGGAGTGTTTATAGTCATGTTAGAGTAATTTCACTAAAACTAGTCACACACATTTTTAACTGTTGGTGTGACTGATAACAAGAAGGTACAGCTGACTGAAACCAACAACATTAGTTTTAATCTAACACAATTATATTTAGGAAGAAGAATTCATTTAATAGAACATGAACAAAGCAGCCAACCGTTGTGTAACCAGAAATTTGTTGTTTTACTAATACTTTCAAGGGAATTTGCCATGCTGATGGGAATTGGAAGTATGTGTGCTGAGTAAAGAATTCCGTGTTTATTTTAAAACATGTATACATAATGTTTCCACACGTTCACACAAAAAGAAAAACAAGCCAGTTACATGACTAGTAGTTTACTCGTATTCTGTAGTTTCTGGCATATTGTAGGCCGGGTATGGCTTAGTTGTTGATGTGTTAGTTATAAAGGTAACATTCCATCCTGTTATTTTGTTCTAAGAGCCAAATAGTTTAAAATTAATGATGGCTATATCTGAACCCTAGAGGTCTCTGATGTGTTTGTTTAGTCCACGTGTCCATAAAGTGCTGTTCAAGATGAAAATAACAATACTAATTCATAATTTCATGAAAATTGCAGGTCTTGTATTTCTACATAGTATTTTGATTTATTTTGTGAACGCTTTTAAATTTCCCCGTCGTCTATTTTTGTTTTTCTCTAAAATGTTTTCAGTACATCTATTTGTTCTGTATCAACTTTTTTTTTTTTGAGCTGAATAGTGTTTTAAAATAAACTATTTTTTTTTTCTTCCAGAATTTGGTTGATCTTGCTGGTTCAGAACGAGCAGGCCAAACAGGAGCTACTGGAGACAGATTTCGCGAAGGCATACACATTAATAAATCTTTACTGATGTTAGGACACGTAATTAGTCGACTCAGTGAAGGCTCTGAAGGGTGAGTTTCAAAGCCTTTTATAATATTTAAAGATGGTATTAACTTAATTTGTGAGTTAGAAGGGAATTTGATAATTAACTATTAATAAATAAATCAATTCTATATGGCATAGGAGCAAGATTTTTAACTTAAACTTTGTGCAAGCGAGATTTATACTGATATGTTAATTTTTATGTTTTAGGTTGCAGTGTGAATGATAAGGAAAGCCAACTAAATAATTAAAATCATAGAAATGTAAATATTTTTTTTTATGAGTCGGTTAATGGTTAAGTACACTTTTAGTGGTCCAAAATAAAAAACTTCATTGATATCTGGTTTTGGAAACCAAAGGTCTATAAAAAGATCGTGTTTTGTCTGTGAGAATGAACATTTTGCTATAGGATATATATGTATGGTACATACTATGGACATGGTCAGGTGGTTAGGGCACTCGACTCGCAATCTGTGGGTCGCGGGTTTGAATCCCCGTCACACCAAACATGCTCGCCCTTTCAGCCGTGGGGGCGTTATAATGTGACGGTCAATCCCACTAATCGTTGGTAAAAGAGTACCCCAAGAGTTGGCGGTGGGTGGTGATGACTAGCTGCCTTCCCTCTAGTCTTACACTGCTAAATTAGGGACGGCTAGCGCAGATAGCCCTCGTGTAGCTTTGCGCGAACTTCAAAAAACAAACAAACATACTATGGATCTGTAACTAATTATTGAAATGGTAGTGATGATAAGAAATAAGATATATTCTTTAACATAATTTACGTTTCATTAAGATTTTTAAATGTAAATTTCTGTTTGCTATATTTTTGAATTTTCAAAGCTACTGTTGAAAAATGTTGAAAGCTTATTTTAAAAGTTAAGATTAGCAGATATAGAACTGATCTATTCTGTGAAAATATTATGCATTTCTTTAGTTTTGTTATGTATCATATCGATCCGTTTTCTTTAACGTAGATCATTAAATTTGGTTTTATCATTCTATAGTTAAAAAAAACTAACGCTCAGACATACGGAGAATATAGTTTAAAAGAACGCACGGAAGATGCCCAAATAAGTCATATTTGAAGTATAAATAGACTTGATTGATTAAAAGGGTTAAGATAATTAAGAAAGAATAGTTTGAAAAATAGAGAATGTATAATTAAGCAGACATTTTTTTGTTTTAAGCTCTTCACAGCTATTTTATTGTTTTAAATTATAAATGATATATATATGGTATAATGAAAATAATTATAATTAATTTTATACATGTAGTCAGTTTGTCAATTATCGAGATTCCAAGTTAACGAGAATCCTTCAGAACTCCCTCGGAGGTAATGCCCGAACTGCTATTATTTGTACAGTTACTCCTGCCTCTGTTGAACAAACCCACTCAACATTGAAAGTAAGTAGCTTGTTAAAGAGGGGGGTGGATTAATAGTTTAGACTTATTTACATAATGATGTATGTTTTTACATAGTGATGTATGATTTTCTTAAGAGTTCATTTAATATTTCTAACCAAAAAAAGGGATGTCATCAAGTTTTAATGACACAATAAATTGTGCCTTAATTCTGTGCTTGTAATGTTCGTGTCCGTATGATCTGTAAGGATATAAATAGTGATTCATGTACTTCTTGTCCATTACCAAAAACTCATTGAGAGACCATGTTGCAGGCCCGCTTGTCCATTACCAAAAACTCATTGAGAGTCCATGTTGCAGGCCCGCTTGTCCATTACCAAAAACTCGTTGAGAGTCCATGTTGCAGGCCCGCTTGTCCATTACCAAAAACTCGTTGAGAGTCCATGTTGCAGGCTCGATTGTCCATTACCAAAAACTCGTTGAGAGTCTATGTTGCAGGCCCGCTTGTCCATTATCAGAAACTTGTTGAGAGTCCATGTTTCAAAAATGTTCTACATATGAATAATTAAAGATAAAAACTGATTGTTAGTTAGTATCTAGTAATAACAAAAATTGGTAACTAATTAGTAATTTTAATTACGTGATCATATAAGCAATGATAGTGGCTATGCACATACTTTTTATGTAATTAATGATTCCATTACTGTATATATTTCATTAGCAGAGAGATTTTGTGTTTCAGAAAATGAGGTTCTCCTTGCATGTCTTCTTTTATTGTCTTAATTCTGAATAGGCCAATAAAATATGTATTGTTCATTGGTTTTCTCAGGTTTTACTTTATTTTACAACTTTGTTTGGCTATAATTTATGGATATATTTTTAGTTTGCAAGCAGAGCAAAATGTATCAAGAATAAGCCAGTTGTGAATGAAGTGATGACAGATGCTGCCATACTAAAACGGTATGCTAAGCTGATGCAAAAAATGACCAGAGAGCTAGAGGTGAGATTAGGAGCATTGTATATATATATATAGTGCTTTTTTTTATTAAATTGATACATAACTTTGTAGTGTTTTTT